TGTTTCTTGCCAAGGGTGTTTACAAATTACATCTAAGTTCTGAAGAGGGGATTCTCAATCAAATCTACCATTATTAGCTAGTATTCATCAATTGTTTACCAAATTGGGGCAACACAAGTCATTAGTAATTTTTTAATCAAATTTGAGGGACAAATCTTTTATTTCCAAACTATACCACTCAAATGTGTGTCATTATAGGAAAAAAGAAAATAAGTTGTATAACAATGACCTAGTCACAAAATGGAGTCTTAAAACAAGATGGAATTGCTGATCGAAAGTTAATATACTGATTCCTACTACACCACTACACCTATTTGACAAGTTTTTAGCCTGGGCTTAAAGAACTCTACTGAGAAAGGACTCATTATTTTCTAAGGCAGCACATTTCACTTTTGGAAATCTTATACTTTAAAAAAATATGGGAGACAGAGCCACGATAGAGAAGTAAAGGCAAGGACTCTCCTGAGCTTTCCCCCAAAATCCTCCAAGTATCATTAAATAATAACTCTAAACAAATTCTAGAGTGACACAACTCACAAAAAGATGGAGTGAAACAATTTTCTAGCCGCAGACAACTTAGAAGGTCAGGAGGAAAGGTTTGATGCACCTGGGTGAGAGTGGAGTGCTGTCCAGTGCAGGTCATACCGGCACAGCCCTGGCCCCAGCAAACCAGGAGCAGGCCTCGAGAGTGACTGAATCAGTGGCAGCAGGTGAGGGTCCAAGACCTTTTAGGTCACAGACATCAAAGACAACTTAGAAGGTCAGCAGGAAAGGTCTGACACACCTGGGTGAGAGCAGAGCCCAGTGCAGCTCAGGCCACACCAGCACAGCTCTGGCTTCAGCAAACCAGGAGCAGGCCTTGAGAGTGACTGCTGCTTCTGGAGCTTTCAGCCCACAGATGGTAAGGGGTTGAGCAACTGGCAGAAGGAGATTACGAGGATCTCTTTGCTAGCACTGGGGCAGGACACCGTTGCTTTGCCAATACTCAGATCCAGGTTGCTGTCTGGGGTGGCAGTCCCGGGGCAAGTAGGAGCACTAGTATACCAGAGCTTGCAACCAAAGTGGAGCAGGGACCCTCCTCACAGTTCCAGAGCAGAAAAGAGTACTTGTGGTCACTCACAGACCAAAGCACAGTCCAGGAACATAGTAAATGCACCTCTCCTTAGGTCAAACCACCTTGGAAGAACTGAAAGCTTATAGGTCACTAGAAGCACCTCAGAAAACAGCTGCACAAAACCCCTGAAGCTTGGCAATGTACCCTCCATTCTGGAAGCAGAGCCCTACTATAATAAAGAGTTAAAAGTAAAGTAAAAGTTGGGGAAATGAGCAGACAACAGAAAAAAATTCTGACCGTGGAAAGTTACTATGGTGACGAAGAAAGATCAAAACACACACTCGAAAGAAGATAACAAAGTCAAAGCTCCTACATCCAAAGCCTCCAAGAAAAATAGGAATTGGTCTCAGGCCACAGAAGATCTCAAAAAGGATTTTGAAAAACAAGTAAGAGAGGTAGGGGAAAAATTGGGAAGAAAAATGAGAGTGAGGCAAAAAAATCACGAAAAAAGAGTCAACAGCTTGGTAAACGAAACAAAAAAAAATACTGAAGAAAATAACACCTTATAAAACAGACTAGATTGAATGGTAAAAGAGGTGTAAAAATCCAAGGAGGAGAAGAATGCTTTAAAACGCAAAATAGGTCAAAGGGGAAAAGAGACACAAAAATTCATTGAAGAAAAAAAAACTTCTTAAAATTAGAATTGGCCAAATGGGAAAGGAGGTACAAAAGCTCACTGAAGATAAAAATTCCTTAAAACTTAAAACTGAGCAAATGGAAGCTAATGACTTTATGAGAAATCAAGAAATAATTTAAAAAATGAAAAAAAGTAGAAGACAATGTGAAATATCTCATTGGACAAAGCAACTGAACTGAAAAATTGATCCAGGATAGGTAATGTGAAAATTGTTGGGCCACCTGAAAGTCATGATCTAAAAAAAGCCTAGACATCATTTTTCTAGAAATTATTAAGGAGGGGGCAGCAAGGTGGCATAGTAGATAGAGCACTGATCCTGGATTCAGGAGGACCTGAGTTCAAATCTGGCCTCAGACACATAACCCTTACTAGCTGTGTGACCCTGGGCAAGTCACTTAACTCCATTGCCTAGCCCCCCCCCAAAAAAGAAAGAAATTATCAAGGAAAACTGCTCTGATATTCTAGAACCAGAGGATTAAATAGAAGTTGAAGGAATACACCAATTGCCTCCTAAAAAAGATCCCAAATTGAAAACTCTCAGGAATATTATAACCAAATTCCAGAGCTCCAAAGTCAAGGAAAAAATACTGCATGCAGCCAGAAAGAAATAATTCAAGTATGGTGGAACCACAATGAGGGTAACACAAGATTTAGCAGCTTCTACATTAAAGGATCAGAGGGCTTGAAATATGATGTTCTGGAGGGGAAAGGAACTAGGATTACAACCAAGAATCACCTACCTAGCAAAACTGAGTATAATCCTTGAGGAGAAAAAATAAATAGACATTCAACAAAATAGAGGACTTTCAAACATTCTTGATGAAAACACAAGAGCCAAATAGAAAATTTGACTTTCAAATACAAGATTCAAGAGAAGCTTAAAAAGGTAAAAAGGAAAGAGGAATCATAAGGGACTTAACAAGGCTAAACTAGGAAGATGACACTTGTAACATAAGAATTTTCTTGTTATTAGGGCAGTTAGGAGGATATATAGACAGATTGTACAGGTGTGAGTTAAATATGAATGAATGATATCTAGAAAAATGAAATTAAGGGGTAAGAGAAGACTGTACTGGGAGAAAGGGAAAAGGAGAAGTAGAATGGGGTAAATTATCTCACAGAAAAGAGGCAGGAAAAAAGCCTATACAGTGGAGTGGAAGATGGGGGAGGTGAGGGGCAGTGAGTGAACCTTACTCATCAGAATTGTCTCAAAGAAGAAATAACATGCATATTCAATTGGATAAAGAAGTCTCTTTTGTCCTACAGGAAAGTTGGAGTGGAAGGGGATAAGAGAGCAGTGTAACAGAAGGGAGGGCAGATTGGGGGAGGGGTTAGTCAGAAGCAAAACAGTTTTGAGGAGGGACAGGGTGAAAAGAGAGAGAGAATAGAATAAACTGGGTGGATAGGATGGAGGGAAATATAGTTAGCAATAGTAACTGTGAAAAAAATTGAAGCAATTTTCTCTGATAAAAGCCTCATTTCTCAAACATATAGAGAACTGAGTCAAATTTATAAAAATAAGAGCCGTTCCCCAATCAATAAATGACCAAAAAATATAACCAGTTTTCAGATGAAATAATCAAAGCTATCTATAGCTTTTTTTATTTATATAGCCATATAAAATACCCTCACTCATTTTTGATTGAAGAAATGCAAATTAAAACAATTCTGAAGTACTATCACGTACCTATTAGATTGATTAATAGGATGGAGAAGGAAAATGACAATTGTTGGAGAGGATGTGGGAAAAATAAGATATTAATGCATTGTTGGTGGAGTTGTCTACTGATTCAACCATTTTGCAGAGCAATTTGAAACTATGTCTAAAAGGCTATAAAACCACGCATACTCTTTGACTTAGGAATACCACTACTAGGACTGTATCCCAAAAGAGATAAAAAAAAGAAAAAGAAAAGAAAATATGTATAAAAATATTTATAGCAACTCTTCTCCAGGAGCAAGGAATTAGAAATTGAGGGGATGTCCATCAACTGGGGAATGACTGAAAAAATTGTGTTATGTGATTATAGTGGAATACTATTGTGCTAAAAGAAATGATAAGCAGGATGCACTCAGAAAAACCTGGAAAACTTGCATGGGCTGATGCAAAGTGAAATGTAGTAGTGTACAAAGTAACAGCATTATTATAAGATGAGCATCTGGAAATGACTTAGCTATTCTTAGTAACACAATAATCCAAGATAATTCTGAAAGACTTATGATAAAAAATGTTACCCATCCCCAGAGTAAGAACTAATGGTGTTTGAATACAGATTGAAGCATACTTTTTTACTTTTTTTCTTGAGATTTTTTTGTGTCTATGTTTTCTTTCACAACAGAGTATTATGGAAATGTTTTGCATGATTATACATGTATAACCTTTATCAAATTGCTTGTCTTCTCAATAAGGGTGGGATTGGGGGGGGGAGAAAGGGAAAGAATTTGAACTCAATGTTTTAAAAAATCAATGTTAAAAAATTGTTTTTACATGTAACTAGAAAAGAAAAAATACTAAATAAAATTAAAAAAGAGAAAATGTGTATTTTTCTCATATCAAGGTAAAGTCTGCCTTTCTGTAATTTGAGACTATTGCTCCTAATTTTATATTTGTTTATAAGCACTCCAAATTTAATGCTTTCTGCATCCAGTGCTCTTTCAAATACTTGAAGCCAACAGAATAAAGGCATGGCAGTGTGTCCTTCAAAAATCAAGGTTTGATCTTCCAAGAAAATTGGCATCCTCTCTTGGATTTGTCCAGCCTCAGCCTCTTGAGTTCCACTGAGGGAACATTTGTGCTAAGCAAAGACAAGGGGAACTTGAAGGAGAAGGATGGACCCTCCTCTTCTTCATTTCTTCTGGACTGTGGACCAGACACATACAGATAATCCCACTAGAAGATAACCCTGCCTTCCCCACATACCCAGACCCTGTCTGGGCTCAAGAGACTAGATGAGAGCAAGAGAGAGAGAGAGAGAGAGAAACAGATACATTGGTTATGTTCCACACTCTCTTTAGTCCCCAGGAGTCCTTGCCTCTAAAACCTCCTTTCTAAAGGTCTTTTCGGATCCTCCTCCAGGTCTCCAGTGAAGCCCTTGAAACCACTAGGTCAGAACAGGGAAGTGAGTGCCCAGTACCCATTTCTGCTGGGCAGACTGAAGGAGATAACAGAGCTAGAAGTTTGGTACAGGATGTGGTGGAAGGAACAGCTGTCCCACAGACATATCTGCAAGTTGGCCAAACCTCAGCCCATCCTTACTCATCAGGAAGTTAAGAAATCAGGACTGTATTTCCATTTTCCCCTATCCTGCAACTTCTCCAAATCCCAGAGTGCATAGCCTCATCTCTGGCCAAAACCTCCTCTACTCCTGTCCCATCCAGGGGTTCTTTTTGTACAAACCTCATTCTGGACAACGCATTCAAAGAGGCACACTTGCTGGAGGAGGTCCAGGTGAGAGGCACAGGCACGGCTTGGCTGAGTGAAGAGAGCAGGGGATGGGAGTAGGGGATTGACACTAATCCTCATTGTAGACAGATCTGTGGGAGGAATTGCGGATGTTTGACTAGACTAAGGTCACTGGGGATGGGTGGGACATGAGGACCACCTTCAAGGGTGAGGGGGGCTGTCAGAGGAAGCCCTAGGGACCAGATTGTTCTGGTAGGCCCCAGATGAGAGAACCAGGACCAAGGTGGGGGAAGTGTAAGGGAGGCAGAATCAGCTGAAGGTGAGGAAGAATCTCCTACCAGTCAGAGTTGTGCAAACATAGATCAGGCTGCCTTGTGTGGTAGTGAGCTCCCTGTCCCTGGAGGTCTTCATAGGGATGGTGGAAAACCACTCTATATTCTGACTGTCAGGAAGGACCAGAGCTCTGCCTCCTCTCTCACTAAACACTGGCTTCTGGTTCAGGAACAATGACCCTTCAATGCCTCCCCCCTGGGAGGACAGAATCAATTCACCAGGAATGAGTCCAAGTATGGAAGTGACCTGACCTGCCTGGGGTGAGTATCTCAAACATTCCTCACCCCTCCACAACAAGCCTGGCCCCAGATCTCCACTGAGCATTGGCTCTCCCTATCCCAATCCATCTTTTACACAGCTGGTAAAGTGATTTTCCAAAAGAACAGGACTGACCATGTCACCCCCTAACTCCATAAACACCATTGGCTCCCTATTACCTTTAGGATAAAATACAGATCTCTGAGTGTGGCCTTTACAACCTGGTCCCAAAGTACCTTTCTTACTTTGTGATGCATAGATCCCCTTTCTGTGCTCTAAGGTCTAGCCAAAGAAGCCCTTTTTCTCACATTGATCTCCATCTACTATGTCCATGCCTTTACAGAGATCATCTCCCATGGCTGTAACGTGCTGCCTCTCAGCTTTGAACTCAAGGGCTCCTCCTCACATGCCACTTGAGACAGAAAGTCTTTCCTGCTAGTGCCTTCCCTCTCATGCCACTTTGCACCTAACCACATGCATGCATTTATTTTATATTGATTCTTTTTAAATTTATTCTGCACAAACATACATGTGTGTATTGTTGTCTCACCTGAGAGAATGGAAGCCCCTTACGAAGTTCTCTGTCTTTGAATCTCCTGCAGTTAGCTTAGAACACAGCCAACATTAAGTGATTAAGAAATAGTCGATGATGTGCCAGTGACCATCTGACCTGCCATCACGCAGGGGTGCTCATCCCCCTTCTCCACCTCTTTTGCAGGGACGATAAACCTGCTTTTTACCACAGTAAAGGGCTGACAATCCCCTGTGCAATGTGTCCACTCAGGATTCTGAGCTGTGGGCTGCCTTCCTGGTACTTAGACTCTCTTCTATCATGCCCATCCATTTCAGCCTCCCTCCCATCAGGGTCCCATCCCACTCTCTTCTGCTCTTGCTTTGTGCCCTCTGGAAGCTCTATTCTATTGCTAACAAATTGTCCTTTGCGTTAGAACTTTGACTTCTGCCCTGAAATTCTTGTGTACGTATTTTGTATTGGCATATACTAACCTATATTCCCCCACCCCCATGGAGTGTAAGCTCTGTGAGGTCCGCAACTGTTTCTTTTTTGTCCTTGCACTCCCAGTACACGGCACAGGGCAAGTCACATAGTAGGAGCTTAATAAATGGTCACTGAATTTGAATTGAGACTTGTCTCATCTGGAGACTGCCTGCCTCATGAGGCTGCTGATGAGGAAAGCATTGAGCAATGATGTACAAGGAAGCATATATGGTCAGCTCTGTTCACACAGAAACCCCTAGGTCAAGGGTCAACTCTGTGGGTAAATGCAGTGCTTGAGTAATTGAGTTCCAATGCTGACACAGAGCAGCAAACACTATAGTTGGCCTTCCCTGGGCTGAACAGCGCTGCCATTGGGGTGACCTAAAGAAGGTGCAATATTGGGGATATTTAAGTGCTTGGAGGGTGGGGGCCTCTTGTCTGCACTGAACTCCCTACAATACATGGTGCCAGCTTCATACCTCACCTAACTTGGAGCCAGGAAGACGTGAATTCGAATCCTGTCTCAGATGCTTACTACCTGTGTGAACCTGTGCAAGTCATTTAACCTCTGTCTGCCTTGGTTTCCTCATCTGTAAAGTGCTAATAATCTTAACAGCTACCTCTCAAGGTTGTTGTGTGGATGCAATGAGACAATCTGTGTTAGGTGCTTGGCAAACGTGAAAGTACTCAATAACACTAGTTATAATTATGTTGTTTGTTTATCAGCATCACTCACGAAAAGAGGGCAAGGGATGAACTCAGTAAGTACACCAAATGTGGAGCAAAGACACAGTGAGTGTCTGGGACTAAGTTTTGAGGTGAGGTGCCATGGGTCCCTTTGGCCTCAGTGTCCAATCTTGGGTTTTTCAAGGTGAGGCTTTCATGGGGGGCCCCCTCTCATTGCCAGGGAAGTCTTGGTATTTTTGGCCCTGGTCCCCTTCAGTGGCCTTCAATACTAACTATCCATCAGAGCCACTGGGCTTTGGCAGGCTGCATTTACCTTAAGACATCATGATCCCCTCCGAGCTAAGCCTTGAAGGACCATGGTCCCTCATTCATCAGTATAAGAGCAGAAGCTGTGGGGCATGGGTTTAGGGAATGTAAGGCAGCTGGGCTGGCCACCACATCCTGGGCCAGCCTCCACTCCACCTACCTTTTCCCCTCTGCACAGTTGAGGCTGGGCAGCCCAGGACAGAGCTGAAGACCCACCATGGGCCCCACAGTCACTTTCCTGATCTCCATTGGTGAGTGTCCAGGGTCAGGCCTGGGGATGGAGAGACATTGTGACAAGGTCCTTGGCTTCTGACTCTGAAGGACAGGGAGGAAGCCTATGGAGGAGACAGAACCTTCTCGGGCAGAGCCGGACCCCAGTGTCTGCCCAAAGGGCTCTTCCTTCATATTCTGAGCAAAGCAGACTGAGAGGTTCAGGGGCTTTGAGAGTTGGGGATGGGGTCAGTGTTGGCTAGAAGGGAGGCATTTATAACCTGAGCTTCTCTTACAGGGCTGTGTCTGGACTGGGCAGTGAGGGCACAGATGGGTAAGGTGTCCCCAACACTCTATTGCCCTTCTCCTTCTCTTTATCCTAATTCAGTTCAGATAGCCATCCCCACAATAATCAGTGAGGGAAAACAGGACATTGGGATGAATGGATGGGGTGACTCAGGGTAGGGGCTCAGGATTCAGAGCTGAAAAAAAAAGGATCAGAGGAATCCCTGGAACTCTGGACTCTGTTTTCTTCTCAGACACCCTTCCACGGCCCACCCTCTGGGCCATCCCAAGTCCTGTGGTCCCCAGGGGAGCAAATGTGACCCTCAGGTGCCAGGGTCACCTGGGGAGTGACAGATTCCAGCTCTGGAAGGATGGAGAGCTCAGAGATGAGAGAAATGCATCCTGGCAGCAGGCAGAGTTCGTGCTCAAGAATGTGGATGACTGGAGAGATGCGAGAAGCTACAGCTGCCGCTCTGGGCAGGGGCCCTGGTGGTCAGAGCTCAGTGAAGCCCTGGCCCTGGTGGTGACAGGTGAGGAGTGCTAGTCTACAACCATCCCTAGTGGGAAGGAGGCCAGTGCTGAGAATGGAGCCTCAGACCCCTCTCTGGAGAGTCACCTACAAGTGGGACAAACCCTCAGGCTTTACTACCTGTCTCCCCTTACCACCACTCATTCCTCCCCAGACTCCAGGAACCCCTGACTTCTCAGTTCACATTTTGGGGTCACAGATAAGGTTGTGAAATCTTTCCCCTCAATAATCTGTGAGGAGGAGAGCACATGCACCACAATTTCCCTTTTAGAGATGGGGAAACTGAGGCCTGGAGAGGATTTAAAGTGAGTTGAGGTTACCTGGTCCTTTAATGTCATGGCCAACATTTGAACCCATGACAGTCACCACCAAATCCAGGGATCTTTCCACATGCGATGACCCAGCCATGAGAGCTGCACTGCTCCTCTCTCTAAAGACACACAGAATTTGGGAGAAAGGGTACATCCTTCTGAGGCTCCCTTTTGCTGAACAAACTTTGTTCAGATTGTTTTTCCTCTTTTAAGAACCAGGCACCAACCTGTCCAGTTGTCTCTATCACTGCTTCCTTCTGCCCTCACTGTGTTCCCATCAGCCTGGCCATATGATTCAATCAGCTTACATCACGTCCCACCATTGGGCCTTTGCTCATGTGGTTCCTCATGCTTGTGATGCTCTTCCCACCTTCATCCATCATTTGCTTCACATTCTTAAAGCCCAGCTCAGATGCTGGCTCTTCCAGGATGCTGATGCTGAATTGAATCCGGTGGCAATGTCCTGATCCTTGACCCTCTCAGCGTGGTGTCTACACCTCTCTCATGTACCCACCCTAGCACTGGTGCCCTTCCCACCATGCCAGGCTGTTGTCCATCTGGCCTCAGACAGAAGGCAGTCTGCTCAAGTGGGAAGGAGCTTGGGATTGGGAGCCTGTGGCAGGGGGTTCAAACACCTGCCCCCCAGGTCCTAGCTGCATGACTGTGGGCAAGTCCCTGACCTTCTATGGACCTCAGTTCCCTCTTCCATGATGTGAAGTTCAAGGGCTGGATTATCTAATGAGGTCATTTGAGGTCAAACCCTTGATCCCTGGGACTGTGAGCTCCGGAAGGCAGTGGGGGCGGTGCCTTCACTAAACCTTCAGGGCTCCTCCATCACTGAGCAGGAGGCATCAAATGGAGGGGGATAAATGAGGGCAGGAAAACTAGACTAAAGACGATTCCTCACAAAGCTTTCAAGGGAGAGCCTCTTGTGCTCCTTTGCCAGCCCTGCCCCCCAGGGACGCACACAGCTCTGCCATGGAATCACCGAGGGGTAGGCAGGGGATAGCAGGACAGAGAACTGGCACCATGTGTCAATGTAGGAGAGTAGGTAAGACCCTGGACCCAATCAGGGTTTCTGTCTAACCCCCCCACCCAGGGGTATATTGGGAGCACAGAGCTTTGAAAACCTCAAAACTTAACAGAAGGGTCTGAATTTGCCAGCGATGGTGCATTACCATCTTGCTTTGGTCCAGCAAGTCCAGGCTGTGGGGCCAGAGCTGGGCCCCTTGGAAGAGGTGACAAGAGGGGTGGGGGGGGCAGGTGACTTCCTCTGCCCAAGTCCCTTCTCCTCCCATCACTCTGTACATTCACAGCCTTCTTGAGCCCAGAACATCTTTATAAGAGTGACCCAGGAGCCAAGTTACCAGCCATGAACAGGCCAACAGGACTAGGCAAAGGGGCCTGACCAAGGACCCTCAACACACCCTCCCCATTCCCAGCTCTATTTCAGAGAATGATTTGAGGGAGTCAAGGGAAGAAATCAGATATCTAACTTTCTTCCTTTCTCTTTTCCAAGGAGCCTTCCCCAAACCCGACATTTCAGCCTCACCCGGATCCATGATATCCCGAGGGACAACAGTGACCATCTCGTGCAAATTTTCATCCCAGGATTACCTTCAGGGCTACAGTTTTGCCCTGCTGGAAGCAAAGAGCTTGGAGCCCTTGCAGCGACAGAGCCCTTCAGGGATCTGGGGTGAATTCCCATTTCCGTCTGTGAGGGCTGAGGACATTGGGAGCTACAGCTGTATTTACTACAAGAAGGCAGCCCCATACAAGGGATCCTATCCCAGCAAGACCCTGGAGCTGACTGTGCTAGGTGACTGGAGATGGGAATCCCTAAATCTCCAAATCCAGCCCCCACATAGGACCCCACAGAGCCATGGGGACAGCACAAAATCCTGGGAATTCTGAACAGATGGTTTGCAGGGAGGCTGGAGGAGACCCTGGGACCCTCTCCTGTTCTACATGGACTCAGCTTTGGGGCCCAGGATAGTGGGGATGTTCCCAGCTCAAGGCAGGCCCCAGATGAGAAAGTGAGAACAGAACTTAAACTTCTGTTGCCTGTCTTACAAAGTAATTAGGGGAGGGGGTCCTTAAAGCGTCATGTAATGCTGACATTTGGGTGTCTCTCCTTCCCCCCAGGACAACTCCCCAGGCCCACTCTGTGGGCCCAACCTGGCCTCATGGTGGCCCCTGGGGCCAACTTCACTCTCTGGTGCTCAAGGCCCAAGCTGTCTTCCCTTGGAGAGGTGACTTTCACTCTGTTGAAGGCTGGGACCCAGGGGCCCTTACAGCAGCAGACCTCAGCAGATCTCTGGACTAGCTTCCTGCTCCCATATGTGAGACCTGAAGACACTGGGAGCTACAGCTGTTCTTACAGGGAAATGAGAGCATCTGCTAGAGGATCAGAGCCCAGTGAGGCCCTGGAGCTGGTGGTACCAGGTGAGGGGTGTGTGTGTGGGCCTCAGAATAACTCTGAGTATGACCCCTCTGCTCTCTGCCCAGACAGAGGTGCCATAGAGACAAGATCTGGTGTCTACACAGCCAGCTCTGCCCTGCGGCCTGGCAGGGCTCCAGGGCCTTAGAAGACATCAGCATTTCCAATCTGGGGAAGAAAGGTGGGGACCGAGTTGGGGGTTGGGAGAAGAGTCACAGAGACCCAGAGCTGAAAGAGGCCTTGGAGGTTCTTGAGGCCAAACCCATTTTTGTTGTTCTTCATTCGTTTCTGACACCTCGTGACCCCATTTGGGGTTTTCTTGGCAAAGACGCTGGAGGAATGTTTTGCCATTTCCTTCCCTAGCTCATTTTACAGAAGAAGAAACTGATACAAACCCTCCCATTACCAATAAGCAAAGCGGGGCTCACAGAGAGAGAAAGACTTGTCCAGGGTCATACAACAAATGAGTGACTGAGCCTGAGCCTTCTCACTCCTGGACCATGATCTGAGCCCTGGTTTTAGGCTGAGCCCTAGGCCTGTCTGTGATAGCCCAGATGAAAAGTGAGGGGCCACAACCTTCCTTCCCATCAGCAATCAGAGGCCTGAGACCACAGTTTGGATGCGCTCCCTCAAATGTGAAAGTCTCTTTAGATTACTGGGTTGCTAGAACATGAAAGGACTGAGAGATCTTCTAGTCTACCCCATCGTTTACGGAGGAGATAACTGAGGCCCAGACAGGGCCAGTGACTGGACCAAGGTCACAGAAGGACTCAGAGACAGAGCAGGGACTTGACCCAGGTGTCCTGACCCCCAGCCCCATGTTCTTCTTCTCACAGGCTCTCTGCCCAAGCCTTCCCTCTCAGCCATCCCAGGCCTTGTGGTGGAGCCCGGGACGCATGTCACTCTCCAGTGCCGGCAGCCCCATCAGTCATCCCTCTGGAGGGCGACATTCACTCTGCTGAAGTTGGGGACCCCCCAGCCCCTGCAGAGCCAGAGCCCAGCTGGGACCTCGGCTGACTTTCCCCTCCTCTCTGTGAGGGCCCAGGATGCTGGCGACTACAGCTGTGTCTACCACAGGAGGATGGCTCCACACCAGGTGTCTGAGCCCAGTGAGGTCCTAGTGATCTGGGTGACAGGTGAGGGTGTCTCCAGTTCCTCAGGGCATTAAATAGAACACGGGGGGTCAGTATTAAGAGACATACTAGGAAAGGCATGTTGTTTGGGGCTCTTTTGAGCATCATGAGGTAGAGGTCGTGGGGTCCATTCCCCATGTATTTGGAGGGTACAGGTAGAAGAATGAACCAGCTCAGGAGCTACTCCAAACTCAAAGGACAAGGACTGATGGGGAAACACTCTACCTGTTTCTTAGTAACCCCACAAAATATCTGAAGTTTAGCATTTATCTCTCTCAAGGGAAGGAGGCTTTGCAAAAAGAATGAACAAAGTGCCAGGAGCTAAGGGCCAGGGGTTCTTCTGGGCTTTCTTTCTCTTGCCTCCCCTACCCCACCGTGGAAGGGAGCTTTAAAGTTTCTGGCCTTTATTTGGGTTTCCAGATGCACTCCCCAAGCCTTCCCTGTCATCCTGGCCTGGCCCGGAGGTGGTCTCAGGGGCCAACGTGACCCTGCTGTGCCGGGGGCCTTCGTGGAGGACTAGATTTATTCTTCACAAGGAGGGGAGCCCGGATACCACTCAAGATGAGGCCCAGTTCTTTCTGACCCATGTCACTTCCAAGCACTCTGGCAGTTACAGCTGTGGATACCAACCCGGTGCCAACGGCAGTCTCTGGACACAACCCAGTGACCCTCTGGAGATTGTAGTGAGAGGTAAGAGGAAGAAACCCACAAGGCCACTTCAGGGTGCCAACAACCACTATATCCCTCAGCCCCTACAAGGAGATGAAACCAAGGCCTGGGCTCTGGGCCAGAGACACAGGTTGAAACAACAGAGACTTTGACACTGTCCTCAATTCCAGGCCATAGGTACCAAGGCTGTGAGCTAGGACACAACTTTCCTCCCATAGTTCCCTATGACCCACATATCTCCGTCCTGGTTTGGGGTTTCTCAAAAGGGATGAGCCTTCTCTGAGAAGTATTTGCGCCAAACGGGGGGATGCTGGGGGTGATGTGATGTGGTGTGACATGATGTGATGTGAGAAAATTCAGGAACAATTATAGGTAAAAGGCGAGAGTCGCCTCAGGAGAGTGATTGTTGAGGAGTCTTCTCTCTCCCCCACGCCTGCTCCAGAGCCCAGTAACACCCTCGTCATCACCCTCAGCTGTCTTGTCTCCCTCCTTCTCTGCCTTCTCCTGCTGGTCTTCTTCTGCCATCGATCCATCCCTCTAAGTGAGTAAGGGGGAGAGAGAGTGAAGTCTCTTGGACTCCTTTGCCTCCTTTGGGCACTTCCCTGATATTATTTCCTTTCCCATGTTCTCTCAGCAGGGGCCTTGCATGGAGACAGCCTTAGGAGGTAAGAAGATTCAGTTCCTACTACAATAGCCAGTCCCCTGTTTCTTCCTTCTGATGTGTCCCTGGCCCCTCTGCACTGGATACAATGCCTGGTGGGGAGAAGATGCTCAAGGAAGCTCCCCAAGTGACCTTCGTCCTCTTGTCCTATGTCCTTCTCCTCTCCCTACAGGTCTTTCTGCTGCTCTTGTCGTCCTCGGAGTGTCTGCCTTCCCCCTCACCCTGAAGCCCCCAGAGATGAGACACTGTGTAAGTTATGTGATTGGGAAGAGGCTGGGGAAAGGCACCATGGTCTGAGGTATCTGAGCTCTCTAAGCAGGAAGGAGGTACTGGTCTTGGGAGCTGGGGGAATAATGGAACCTCTCCTCTACCTCAGATACGGAAGTGGCGAAGGAGACGCCAATGGAACCATCGGTGAGTTAATCCTGTCCTGTTGTCCACCTGGAGGAAGAGCCCGTCTTGTCCTTGACCCCAACCTTTAACCACAAGCTCTGGGTGCAGGGTTGGATCACTTCCTAATCACTTACCTATTCATTCTTCTCCTCCCCCAAGGCAGGGATTGTCAGCTGGGGATCCCTGAACTTGTTGGGGTTATTTTTTAAAATATTTCAATAACTGCACTTCAACATCATCCCTTTCCTTGATAATTCTATGGAGTTCATTTCAAATTAATTAAAGGCATGAGATTGAGAAGGTGTCTGCAGGTTTCACCAGTCAGGCTGTCAAAGCTTTCATGACACACAAAAAGATTAGGAACTCCTATTCCAATATCACTCACTGTTCCCTGACTCTTGTATTTCTCCTTCAGGTCCCTACGGCTGAAGATCCCGAGGGAGTGACCTATGCACATCTGAACATAAGAACCTTGAATAAGAGGCAAGCAGACCCCAAGGAGACACCCACAGAGTCCACAGTCTATGCCAGTGTCTCCTTAGACTGAGACTTTGGCTACTTTTCAAAAGGAAAGTCTCTCCCTTCCTCTTTTCTCCCGCCCATATCTCATCTGTCCACTAGTATATCTTCTTCAAATCCCCACCACTGAAGCAGCATGATGCCTATTGGGGATATCCATTTTGGCCTACAGTTGTACAGACCAAGGGTATCTGTCTATGATGATGAGAAACATACAAGATATATACAGAGTAGATGGGGGGGTGGGTTATAATCTCAGAGAGGAAGTCACTAGCAGTTATGGGGACCAGGAAAAGGTTTCTGCACTAGGTGGGACTAGAGCTGAGTTTTAAAGGAAACTAGGCAAACTAAGAGGCAGATTGGAGGGAGGATCACAGTCCAGGAATGGGGGACAGCCACTACAAAAGTCTGGAGCTAGGAAACTATTTTGTGTAAAGACAAAAAAAAAATCAATCACCCAATGTGGCTGGCTCATGGAGTGAGAGAAAGGAAATGAAGTGTAAGAAGATTGGAAAAGTAGGAAGCCACTCAAGTTTAAACCCTCAAATTAAGAGAGAGAGACAGAGAGACAGAGAGACAGAGAGAGACAGAGAGACAGAGAGAGACAGAGAGAGGAGGGGGGTGGAGAGAGAGAGAGAACGGAGGTTAAGTAAAATGCAACCAGATGGCAGTCATGTCCAAAAATAAATGTTTTTGTTCTTTCTGTCCATTACTTCTCAGTCATGAGTTGGGTACTATGTTTCATCAGAAGTCCTCTGAAGGCGTGGTTGGTTATTGCATTGTTCAGAGTTCTTAAACCTCATGATTCTTTTCCTTTACAAGGTATTTATTGTATAAATTATCCTTCTGGTCATGCTCCCTTCACTCTGAATCCATTCATATCACCCAAGGTTCTCTGAAATCATCTCATTTGCAGTTTCACATAGTGCAATATCACTCCTTCCTTTTCATTTCGGGCTGGTGCAGCCATTCCTCAATTGCCTAAC